AAAAGAAAATAATGGATGACACACAGAACGCTGCAACTTCTCGAAGAGCGACATATATAACACATTTCCGTTAGATCGGAAGCCATTCTGTCTCCAGCTTCTGTACACAATGAAGCTTCGCCTAGTTTTTTAAAAATTTTAAAGTGTTTGTTTGTTCTTCTGTTGTGTAGTGTGATGTACCAATTTATGTTTATAACATTTTATTCTTGTCAGATAGGCCACAATTGACGAAATTCCCCTGAAGATGCGAAAGTACTTGGGCAAGATTAAATTAATTAAACTGTGCTCGATATTTGCCTTTTATTTTATTAAAGTTAATAGAAAATAACTGATTTCTTATTGATTTCTTACGTATTATGAAACGTTACAGGAACGCAAATCGCCCAATTATATACATGGATGAAACATACGTCCATCATCTCATACCTACCAAAAGAGCTGGTCTGATAGTTCAAAAAAGGGCCTACAAAAACCAGTATTTAAAGAACAGATGCTTGTGATAATGCATGCTGGAAGAGAAAGTGGTTTTGTGAATAACGCTTATCTGCGCTACAAACCTACTATAAAAACAGGAAATTATCATGATGCAATGAACTACGACAATTACAAAAAGTGGCTTCAGGATAAGCTGACACCAAATTTGCCCCTAAACAGCATTTAAGTGATTGATAATGCACTGTATCACAACGTATAGACTGAGAAATGTCCAACTATGTCGTCCAGAAAAGCAGAAATGCAGCAGTGGCTGAAAACTATTTCTTTTACAGATGACATGTTAAAATTTGAATTTTACGACATTACAAGACAAAATACTCGAGGATAAAGGACATTCAGTTATACGGTTACCCCCATATTATGCGGATTTGAATCCTATAGAGTTAGTATGGGCTTCTATTAAGTTATTTGATGCTGAAAATATGTAACTTTTGATTTTAAATTAGTGGAAAGTTTGTGTGATGAATTTTTTAATTCGTTTACAGTCGAACAATGGGAAAAGAGGTGTGAATATGTGAAAAAAGAGAAGAAAGTTATATGGCACAACAGCCAGCTTTTGACAACAGGGTGGATCAAATAATCATAAATGTAGGTGTCGCTAGTGACAGTGATTCTGAAAATGACGAGATGGACTCTGATTCTGAATCAGATGATTCAGAAATATGAACCTGAGACACTCCTGTTGCATTTCATCAGAAACTGTTAGGTATTATAAACTTTTAATCATTTTTTAGAAATATTGTTATTTTTATTTAGTTCTCTGCGGGCGATTGTAGCAGTCAAAACGAAAAAATATTAAATTTCCCTCGTTAATCATTTATAGGGCCCCTACACGTTCATTACCAAAGATTTTGCATTCTTATTTTTAATATTTTAAATATGACTTAATTATATAGTACTAAATATCTCATTTTTTTATAGTTTACACTTTTTTCATACTTTGGGTACATATTCAAAGATAAAGGCCGCTTTTAACAAAGGTATTGGTACAAAGACACCATATTTCTGCTTCACCGGAACCAAATATCTAATTTCTATTAGTATTGTATTAGACGATTTTATTACTACTTTATTACCGTACTGCTTACGCTCTTTTTCTCCGAAATCTTTTGATCAATATAATGGTAATATAAAGTATAAGTAGTCAATATAAAAATAAAATTTTTGGTTTATAATGCCATAATTTCTAGCAACACAAGCGGTTTTTGTTGGATCTATTTTTTACATCTCACTTTGTAGAACAAATACCACAAATATACTGAAATATACTGAAGAAAAGTAATGACAGGAATATTAATTGTGTACGGGACCTATTAGAGACCATTTAAACTTTACGTTTCGATATTTGTGTGTCCGATTGTAACTATATTTTAAAGTTCACCCGCGCGTACAGGCTATCTTTTTCCTTCCGAATGCGTTCTCACTTCATTGTTCGCGCAGGCTGTTAGGACTTTCATCTATTTTTGGTGAACTGTACCTTCGACATCATCCTGTTTGCAGGTTTGAGAGTTAAGTGCTTCTGATACTTATTGTTATATTTTATATGTTATTTTATTTCTTGTTTATGAAAGACTACCTATTATATGTTTTTCTTCTCTTATGAAAATATACTTGAATAGCTGAGTCAATGAACCAGAATTACTAATATGTCGATTGTCTATAAAGTAATATTGAAAACAAAATCATTGTGTAAGCAGTGTAAGCAAATTTTTATCTAGCATAATTAGTGAAAACGCTAATAAAAAATAGCTATAATTTATAAAAATAGATAAATTAATTAAAAACCTACCAAAAACATTAAATGTCCTCCAAATGAAATAAAGAGAAGAACAGCAAAAACAACTGACTCTCTAACCCATTTATCTATGTATGTATTCGCCGACAAAATAAATGATGGCCCAGCTACAAACCACATAGTTCCAAAGATGTTAAATGGATAGTAAAAATTTCCCTACAAATACAATATTATTATAAAGATATCGAAGAAGTCTAGGGATATTTTTATAAATAGACTTTTATGTAATTTATTTAGATAAACAATAACAAATTTATTTTATTAACGGGTGTTTAATATCCCACAAATTTTGTCTAGATTAAAAAAATAATAGAGTTTCTAATTTTTTTTTGTCTAAAACAATTTCGAAATTGAAAAAATATATATAATACAAAATATAGTCTTCATGTTGGTTTATTACAACTTCTTATCTATAGATCATGATCTCACTAATGATGTCCCATTTGTGAAACATATCTGCATATCAACCATGTTGAGTTCTGATACGGTGGTGAACCAGGTCCTGCATGGTTGGTCAAATCCAGGAGGTGTCCAGGAGGTGTGATTCAAGGTATGGCTGTATTTGCTTGAGCTGTCGACTATTCATGGATCCATTTGGTGATCATGTTAAACCTGTGACTGCGGCTGATTCTACAGTTTGTATTGGAGATTTTCTGGAGCGCAGTCGACTTTTTGTTGCATCTTCTATATAGTTATGAATAGCAGATAGAGTCGGCAAAGATGTGGTGATGGAATGTCGCTCAGCACTTGTAGTCAATGCACTTGGACTTGAACATCTATATTTTTAACGTGAGCACTGTTGGTCCATATTGGCGCGCCGTATTTAGCTATGGAATAAACAATAGCTAAGCCTGGAGACCTGGGTTTGGATGCTGATGCCCCCATGTTGTGCCGCAGAGCTTCTGAATGATGTTATTTCTGGGTTTTAGCTTCTTGACAACTGTACTTAAATGTTCTCTAAAACTTAACGTTCTGTCCAAGGCCACGCATAGATATTTTGGATGTTTATTGTGGTTGAGTTGTGTGTTATCAAAAAGAACGTTATTTCGGTCTTGCAGGCATTTGGAAGAAGTCGCCATTTTTGAAAGTAATTACCCATAACCGTAGGAATCTATTTAGCTCCTTCTAGTGACTTTTGTGGGTTAATTAAGCCCAGTCATTAGAATAGACAAACTTTGTTTATGTTGTTGTCGGCATGTCTGTGATGTAAATGCTAAAAAGCCGTGGTGCAAGTACCGAGCCTTGTGGCAGACCATTTTTGAGTTTTCTGTGGGTGCTTACTTCGCTTCCTATAGTTATTTAAAATACTCTGTGGGTGAGTATATTTTCTATTAATTTAGCGGTGAATTTGGAAGGAATAGTGCATAAGAGTTTATAAATCATTCCTTCTTGCCAGACGACATCGAAAAGCTGCTGACAGATCTATGAAAACAGCAAAACTCTTTAGTTTTCTTTAAAAGTCGGCTTCTAAGTAAGTACAGAGATATAACGACTGGTCTGTGCAACCTCGTTTAAATCTAAAACTTGTTTGCTCAATTGGTATAGCTTTGAGGATTGTTGGGCTTGTTCTGTTAAAACTTAGTCTTTCGAGTAGTTTATACATTATAGACAATATAGCAATTGGTCAATAGCTTTTTGGGTAGTCAGCTGGTTTACCCGATTTGGGTATTGCTATGAATTTTGAGTGTTTGAATTCCCGTGGGACTCTGCCGGTCTGAATTATGTTTGTGAAAAACTGTGATAGCCAGGTTTTTGTATATTTTCCGCAATTGAGTGGAAATACTTAGTTTCGCATTTGGGGTCAATGCCGTCGAAACCTGGTGCTTTACCCGAGGAAATGTCTTTAAGGGCGATATCTATTTCTTTAATTGTGAAAAGGCGAGAGTGTTCGGTCTCGATTGATTGGGATTTCAATGTTTTTAAATATTTTTTTATGTCTCGTGTCTGAGCTTTATCTCTGGTAGCTTTTGATGATGGAACAATTAAAGATGACACTAAGTCTAACTTTATACTTGCTTTTCGTTGTTAAAAAGTTTTACCATATCCAAGTTTCCATATTAGGGCACATATTTTCCGACTTGATTTTTAAAAGTTTAGGTTTTCTACTGTCTCAGTCCATATTTGCTATCGTGTTGTATTCAGACTACGAACAAGTTCGTCTGCGATCTCTTGGTGTCCTGTTTCAAAAAAGTTTTGGCATAATAATTTAAACCTCAATAAAGTCCTTTTGTTAATGTAGTGTTATGTACAATGTATGTCCATTTTCATGTGTATTACATTCTACGCTTACTGGATAGCCCAAATTTAACGAAATGCCCCTGATGATGCTGTAGATAGCGAAAGTACTTGGGCAAGATTTGATTAAACTTGTGCTCGATATTTGCCTTAATTTTCAAAGTTTATTCAATAATTACCTGAGGATTGAATCAGAAGAGATCCTTAAATTACCATTGAGGAAACTCTTAACCTTCGTTAAGGTCACAGGACATATGGTTTAATGAAAAAAAAAACAGGATTTGGTGCAAAAGTCTTATGATCAAGTACAAAAGATTAGCGTGTTTCGTCTAAACTAAGAAGAAGAGGAACATGAAACTAGTTTTTAAATAAGGTATTACATTTGTAGTGATTATTTTGTTATGTATCAGCAAAAATTTGTTTTTAAGATTTCCTTCGAATAAATTTTAGTTAACATTTAAAAATTGGACTAGCTTCATATTTCAGAATACCTAAATCTCTGATGGTATATTAGTCCTTGTTTAAAATTACTTACTTTTTCTGGATAATGCTTTAGAGTAAATATTGTAAAATAAACGAACATACACCAAGCAATAATTCTTAATGATATTAAGGCATATCCGGCTGGTGATTCATATAGATATAACACTTCTCCTGGATCGAATACCTTAAAAATAACAATTTAGGTTTTACTTGGTTATTTTTAACATTATTTTACCTTTGCCTCATATATAAATATTGAAACATAAGTAACAGAATAGAGACACATAAATATTGTCAATTTGACACTTGCTGTTAGTGGTAGGGTTCCTCTGGTAACTGTGTATCCTTTCGCAAGTAGCAAGAGAAGAAGTACGAAACTTGTTTCTGATGTTCCCATTAACATTAAACCTAAAACATAAGCTCATATTGAATATTTATGCATTTATAGCGGCGAGACATAATATATTAGTATCTATTTCTTAAGACTAAGTGTCAGAAAGCTAACCGAAGAGAAAGGCAGAGATAACTTGAAAATAAAAATAATTAAATTTATTTTATAATTATGTACGTGATAAAACAAAGTCATAAATTTTATGAGATCAAGGATCAGTGATGTTTGTTCTCTTGGACCGTCCGTTATAAACTGGTTGTACTGTAGCCAATCTGCTTAATGCAGTATTCTAGAACCCTGAACCATTTTATACAGGTCTTGAATGGATGAATGGGTGCCATATATTATTTGGAGTCAATCGTTGTCCCCAAAAAGTTTTTTTAACCAGCGACTCAATACTTATGTAGGATATGGTTGATTATTTTAGGTTTTCTGGTACATAGTCTGCAGATGAAGTCTCCATTAAACAGTTCCAATATATGCAGGTGTCCCTGAACTGATAAGAGTTTAGTAAGGAAGCCTTTTATGATTTTTAAATTGATTCCTGCTTGTTTTCCGCAGTACATTAGTCCTATTAGCAGATGTCCATATGAGTTGTGTTGTCTTCGGATCCAAGCTTTTTCCAGTCGCGGACGATGATATTTGTCACTCCTACTTCCGGCTCTGTATTAGATCTTTCCTTCCATTTGGCATAACTAGCTCCGTTTATTGTATTACTATATTTTGATATAACCAATACGTTACTTAGGTTTTCTCGCAGTCTATAACATCCCATCCTCGTCTACATTCTTCTAATTATCTGTAAAGAAAAGAGATTCAGTAGAACCTCCATATTTGATGTTGGTGTGCCCCTAAGAGCGTTTTGGTTCCAGGACAAGCAAGTCTTTGCACCTTGCTTGATTTACACTTTTTTCTAGCACCTTTGACCACTACACTACCGATGCATATGTCATTGTGGGTTTTACCACCATGTTATAAATCCAATATTACATGTCTGGTTTTAAACCCCACATTTCTTCATGAGTACGTCTGTTTACCATTAACATATTTACCTGTCTTCGTTCTATCTGCTTATTTTAAGTTTTAAGTATAAAATTACCCCAAGATAGTTTAATTCACTCACCAGATTTAAATGTGTACTGTGTGTAATGTGTAAATTGTTTTTCTTAATTTAATTATTTTTAATTTCTAGTTTTCTGAAGAAACACGCTGTTTGTGTATGTGTATGTGTGAGACAAAGATAAATATTTATTTTAAAAGACTTGGTCTAGATAAAGGCTCAATGTGGATGACTGACAATAGTGAGAAATCATGTTTTTTGTTTACTTCATTCATTACTACTGTTCTTCGTTTCGTAATATTTTATATTTCCATGCAATGCATTTCAACGTAATCTCTAGCTGTTAACTCACTAATATTTAGACAAATCAGAAATATTTTTTTAGAAACGCTTAGCTTTGTAGTTGCTTTTTAAGGTCTGTATCAGGATGTAATTTCTTCTGGAATTCTCAGTTTATCAGTTCATTTTTTGCTCTTGTCAAAAAACAAATATACACCTTGCTTGCGCCTAACGACACATTCGACTAGATTTGGTAAAACATATAATTTTTTTGCCTTTATTAAACAATTGTCATAGATATATCTTCTATATCATCTATATCTAAAGATAATACATTTCTTGGATATATTTATTAATACATTTGTATTTATTATCCTTATATTTTTAAATCTATTATTTTTTACTTTTCATCCTTCATACTTATTTTTATATGGTTCCTCTCTAGGTACTAACAAATTTCGCTTTATTTGAGAGTTTTTTTATTTAAGTCCATGATTTTTTTCTAGAAACATACTGACCAAAACTGTGAGTTTATTTATCACATATTACTGAAAAATGCTCTCGGTTAATTTATCATATATTATTATATAATAAGTGATTATAAGAACATCGTTAATAACTAGTTGCACAAACCACTTAATATGAATAAAACATTTTCAGTCCATTCTGTTTTTCTGAAAATATACTGAACAAAACTCTTGGTTAATTTATTACAAATTATATTATAATATGTGATTATAAGAAGATCTTTATTAACTAGTTGCACGAAACACTTAAGGAGTGCCGACAGAAGTGACTACTGTGTGCTTAATACTGAATTGTTAATATTTTGTTATACTAGCACCGTACATTTAAGTTCTTTAACATTAAAACAATGTAAAAGAAGAAATAAACAAATTAAAAAACATGAAGTCACCAGGAGAAGATCAAATGCCAATGAACTCTTAAAATATGGAGGTGATCACCTTGTACAACAACTGCAACTTCTTATTAATAAAATAATCAACACGAACATAATATCAGATAAATGGAGGAGAGAGATCATGTTGATGTTCTTTAAAAAAAGAGATAAGAAAGACTCCAATAATTATCGAGCAATAAATCTATTAAATATAACACTCGAATTAACAACACGAATAATAGCGACAAAAATAAACGAACAAATATCTCTGCAAGAGGAACAGCAAGGATTTCGGACAGAGGAAGATCGCGGATGCAGTTTTTGTAATACGACAAATAAAAGAAAAGTCGCCAGGAATACAACAAACCAGCATATACAGATTGAACCAAATTAAAACGGAACATACAATTTAATACATGTCTGTTTGAACTGCATTTGAAATAGTGGACCAATATAAAACTTGGACAAAAATAAATCCATACCTGGGTATAGACATTGTATAAAATATCGTTTAACTATCTGTCTCACAACAATGTTGTTTGCGTAAGACGGGTTTGTCTAAGGAAACGATAATAGTTCAGGAAATGAATCTCGAAAAAAGTTAAAACCTCGCAATTTTTTCGTCCTGCATGTATCCAGTTGAAATTTTAACAGAAGATAGGTGATAGAAAAAGGATCAAAATCTATATCGAACCGAAGTGCGCTGAAGGGTTTTAGGGGTGAAAACTACCCCTAATTGTCAAAAATTATAAAATAACATATTAAACCTGAATATGGGTAAGATTTGGTTTGAATTAGTTAAATAATGATTATTTTATACTTTTGAATAGAGTTCCATCATATTTCAACACTTAAAAAGCAACCCTTGTTAGAGGTTAATGTAAAAAAATTACTAATTCTAAAAAAATGATTTCGCCTTGGATCGATTTGGATAAAAATTTGGATTTAAGCTCAATTCACCCGCTGCTTTATAGTTTATGTCATGTCGACGAACCCTGATTGTTCTAAGGGGTGAAAACTACCCGTAATTGTCAAAAATGATAAAATAACATATTAAACCTGATTATGGGTAAAATTTGGTTTGAATTAATTAAATAATGATAGTTTCGTGCTTTTGAATAAAGTTCCATCATATTTCAACCCTTAAAAAGCGACCCTTATTAGAGATTAATATAAAAAAATTAGTAATGCGAAGAAAATGATTTCACCTTGGAACGATTTGCATAAAAATTTGGACTTAAGCTCAACTCACCCTCTGCTTTATAGTTTATGTCATGCCGATGAACCCTGATTGTCCTTAAGGATGAAAACTACCCCTAATTTTCAAAAATTGTTAAATAATATTAAAAATCTTAAGATGAGTGAAATTTGGTTTGGCTTAGTTAAATATTGATTTTTTTATACTTTAAAATACAAATTCATACATTTTCAACCCTTAAAAATCAATTGTTATGAGTGCTATAGGTAAAAACAATTTTTTGCCAAAATTTTGCAACTTTTCAACTTTTGAAAATCACCCTTTACAACATTGCAGTTTTTATAAACTAATTTATAAGATATAAATTAAAAAAAGTAGAATTAAATACAAAAAAAATTATCAACATAAAAATGCACCATATATTCTTATACATTTACATAAATAGTAGAAAATATTTACATTTATAGGTAAAACAATTATAATATTAATTTTATTCGTCATCAATTACATCTTCATCGTGATCTATGTCATCCTCATCTTCAATTATTGGTGGACTATTATTGCACCCTTCACCTGAGCACCCAGAACAAGTAGAGTTACAGTATAAACCAACTTTTCTGCACCCACATGAAACACCGCATCCTTTTTTGCATTGCCAAAAAAAATTTTCAAAAGTTCATCGAGTGCAGGTTGTTTGTTCATGCGTACGGGTAATAACAAACCATCTTTGGAATACCATCCCCAATCTGTTGCTCTAATATTTTCATTGCCAAGCCATAGACATATGAGCAGATGTTTTATTCTGTTGTATGGGATTTCAAAATAAGAACGCTTAAAATTTCGAATGTATAACGCCCCACTAGCTAATATACCGGTTTTGTAGATTATTATGCTCCGAAATGTACTGTACTATACTAATAGAATTTTCCGGAAAAAAATTCACTGGTTTTTTTAACGTATTTCTTTTAATTTTTAACGATAGAGTGTTTCTTCAAAAAAGATTTGTAGAGGTTTTTAAGAGCTACAAGGATCTGTGAATGAAATCTTTTTGGAACCCTTGGTTTTCAAATGTGGTGAGTTTAAAGGGCTCGAAAAAGATGGTGCTTGATCGTAAATCGATGCTTTAAACGGCTATATCTCGCCAAATATTCATTGTACAACAAATCTAAATGAAGGATAATTTTAGTCATTAAAAAAGCTGCAATTTAGTAATTTGTATTTTTTTCATATATTCAGTATTTTCGGGCATATTTAAAAAAAGAAGGGTAAAAAATATGAAATTGTAAATCGTTTCTCGCTTTAAGCTGTACTTTTTCTAACACAAAGCATTTTAAATGGGTCAAACTTCTTGGACGTATTAACAATACATGTACAAAGGGAATTTCAGAAGGGTAAAGATCGATTTTAATTATGGAGGAGGTTAGGATGTTGTTTCGATTTTTTCGTAAAAAATGAGGTATTGACCTCATTTTCATCATAACTCACTTAATTTTTGAGCTAGAGTCTTTTTTATGATAGGTCTATTTATGCTCTTTAAAAAAGGTTTTGTGAGTTTTCTTCCAAAAATGCATCCTTTTCC